GAAGTCAGCCTCTCTGCTACGAGGTGACCAGATTGCTGCGCAGAGAAGCTTCTGCCACTTCCCCACTCTGTGGCTTTTGGCAAATCACCCTGTCTCCTGTGTGTCCTCATCTAAAAAACGAGAAGGGGTCGGGTGTGGTGGCTCACACCTGCAATCCCAGCACTTTGGGAGATTGAGAGGATCCCTTGAGGTCAGGAGTTCGAGACCATCCTGGTCAACAAGGTGAAACCCCGTCTCTACTACAAATACAAAAATTAGCTGGGCATGGTGGTGCGTGTCTGTAATCCCAGCTACTCGGGAGGCTGAGGCAGGAGAATTGCTTGAACCCAGAAGGTGGAGGTTGCGGTGAGCCGAGATCACGCCATTGCACTCCAGCCTGGGTAACAAGAGCGAAACTCCGTCTCAAAAAAAAAAAAAAAATTAGCTGGGCATGGTGGTGGGGGGTGCCTGTAATCCCAGCTAGTTGGGAGGCTCAGGTGGGAGAATTGCTTGAGCCCAGGAGGCAGAGGTTGCAGTGAGCCAAGTTCGTGCCATTGCACTCCAGCCTGGGTGACAGAGCAAGACGCTGGCTCAAAAATAAATAACTAAATGAGAATGCCACCTCCTGAGGTCCTGGGTTTTGTCGTGCTCATCCCTGGTATATCCTATGGCCTAGCACAGTGCCCGGCACACAGTAGGTACTCGATACGTGTTTTTTTGGTGGTGGTGTTTGTTTTCATTTGTTTGTTTTTGAGATGGAGTCTTGCACTATCACTCGTGCTGGAGTGCAATGGTGCAATCTCGGCTCACTGCAACCTCTGCCTCCCGGGTTCAAGTGAGTCTCCTGCCTCAGCCTCCTAAGTAGCTGGGATTGCAGGCACTCGCCACCCCTCCCGGCTAATATATATATATATATTTTTGAGACGGAGTTTCACTCTTCTTACCCGGGCTGGAGTGCAATGGCGCGATCTCGGCTCACCGCAACCTCCGCCTTCTGCGTTCAGGCAATTCTCCTGCCTCAGCCTCCCGAGGAGCTGGGATTACAGGCACGCGCCACCGTGCCCAGCTAATTTTTTGTATTTTTAGTAGAGACGGGGTTTCACCATGTTGACCAGGATGGTCTCGATCTCTTGACCTCGTGATCCACCCGTCTCGGCCTCCCAAACTGCTGGGATTACAGGCTTGAGCCACCGCACCCGGCCTCAGTTCGTGTTTTTGGAATGAATGGGCTACAGTCCCTGCAGCCTGCAGTACCTACGCTGACGGTAGTAGCCACTGTGGCCACCAGGGGGCGCCAGAAACCACACAACCCACCCCATCCGGGAAGCCTCGGTTTTCCACCCTGAGAAATGGGGAGATGCGGGGAAGGCACAGAAGGCCGGTGCCACTCCCGGACCGCAGCCCCTCCTCGCTGTCCCTTGCCTCTCCCCTCCTGCCACGCCATCCTGGCCCTAGTTTTCTTAAGTTTTTAATCTTGAATTAAAGTTATACACGCGGCTGGGCACAGTGGCTCACAGTGGAGGCCAAGGCGGGAGGATCACCTGAGGTCAGAAGTTTGAGACCAGCCTGGTCCACACGGTGAAACCCCATCTCTACTAAAAATATAAAAATTAGCCGGGTGTGGTGGCGCGTGCCTGTAATCCCAGCTACTCGGGAGGCTGAGGCAGGAGAATCACTTGAACCCGGGAGGTGGAGGTTGCAGTGAGCTGAGATCATGCCACTGCACTCCAGCCTGGGCGACAGAGCAAGACTCCATCTCAAAAAAAAAAAAAAAAAAAAAGAGGCTGCTTTTAACTGCTTTTTTTTGTTTTTTTGAGACGGAGTTTCGCTCTTGTCACCCAGGCTGGAGTGCAATGGCGCGATCTCCGCTTACCACAACCTCTGCCTCCCGGGTTCAGGCAATTCTCCTGCCTCAGCCTCCCGAGTAGCTGGGATTACAGGCACGCGCCACCATGCCCAGCTAATTTTTTGTATTGTTAGTAGAGGCAGGGTTTCACCGTGTTGACCAGGATGGTCTTGATCTCTTGACCTCGTGATCTGCCCGCCTCGGCCTCCCAAAGTGCTGGGATTACAGGCGTGAGCCACCGCGCCCGGCCTAACTGCTTGTTTTGATGTTGATTTCCACCTCTCTGAGTCGTGACTGTTCTGCCGGTTTTAGTATGTTTTAAAAATGTATTTCTTCTTCATCATCCTCATCAGTGATCTAACCCCCAGCCCTTCCTCCACTTCATCTGGCATCCAAATTGCCTGGACAGGGGAAGTCATGAGCACCTAGATTCTGCCCCATCCTGCCCAGTTTCTGGGTTGGGTGGGGCCTAGGAACCTGCATTTCTTTTCCTTTTCCTTGTTTTTTTTTTTTTTTGAGACAACGCCTCCCTCTTGTCAGCTTCACGAGACCCTCCCCAGCACCCCAGCATAGGAGGACTCTGTCTCTGGGGTCACACGGGCCTGGGTGAAGTATTGCAGCTCCATCCCTCGCTAGCTAGGTGGCGAGATTCCCTCCACCTGTGCCCCACCAGAAACCCTTCGGATTGAAAACTGGCTGGGCGCGGTGGCTCACGCCTGTAATCCCGGCACTTTGGGAGGCCGAGGTGGGCGGATCACAAGGTCAGGAGATCGAGACCAGCCTGGCCAACGTGGTGAAACCCCGCCTCTACTGAACATACCAAAAAAAAACTAGCCAGGTGTGGTGGCGCGTGCCTGTAATCCCAGCTACTCAGGAGGCTGAGGCAGGAGAATCACTTGAACCTGGGAGGCGGAGGTTGCAGTGAGCCGAGAATGTGCCACTGCACTCCAGCCTGATGACAGAGGGAGATTCTGTCTCAAAAAAAAAAAAAAAAAAAAAAAAAGGAATGAAAACAACAACTAATACCCGCGTTTACTTATCTACCTATGGCTTCAGAGATGGGGTCTTGCTCTGCTGCTCAGACTGGAGCGCTGTGTCACGATCAGAGCTCACTGCAGCCTCAGGCTCCTCCCATCTTAGCCTCCTAAGTAGCTGGCTAAATAAAAAAAAAAATTGAACCAGTACGGTGGCTCACGCCTGTAATTCCAGCACTTCCGGAGGCTGAGGTGGGCAGACCACCTGAGGTCAGGAGTTCAAGACCAGCCTGACCAACACGGTGAAACCCCGTCTTTATAAAACAAAAAACAGGTAGTTAATTGCAAATGTCATGGATATGTTTTGTGTAGATAAATGTTAACGTGTGTTGTGTAGATCAGTGTTATTTGCGTGTGCTGTATATATCCCTGTGAGTGATATGTTTTGTGTGTGAAGGTTCTGACATGTAGTGTGTATATCAGCGTTAATGTGTGTTGCACACATCAGTGTCAGTTACGCGTATTGTGTGGATGAATGTCATTGGCATGTATCGCATAGAGCAATGCTATTTGTGTGTATTGTGTGGATTCGTGTTAATGACACACAGCGTGTGGATTTGTCATTGATACGTATTGTGTGGATTCGTGTTAATGACACACAGCGTGTGGATTTGTCGTTGATACGTATTGTGTGGATTCGTGTTAATGACACACAGTGTGTGGATTTGTCGTTGATACGTATTGTGTGGATTCGTGTTAATGACACACAGAGTGTGGATTTGTAATTGATACGTATTGTGTGGATTCGTGTTAGTGACACACAATGTGTGGATTTGTCGTTGATACGTATTGTGTGGATTTGTGTTAATGACACACTGTGTGGATTTGTCGTTGATACGTATTGTGTGGATTCGTGTTAGTGACACACAGTGTGTGGATTTGTCGTTGATACGTATTGTGTGGATTCGTGTTAATGACACACTGTGTGGATTTGTCGTTGATACGTATTGTGTGGATTCGTGTTAATGACACACAGAGTGTGGATTTGTAATTGATACGTATTGTGTGGATTCGTGTTAGTGACACACAATGTGTGGATTTGTCGTTGATACGTATTGTGTGGATTTGTGTTAATGACACACTGTGTGGATTTGTCGTTGATACGTATTGTGTGGATTCGTGTTAGTGACACACAGTGTGTGGATTTGTCGTTGATACGTATTGTGTGGATTCGTGTTAATGACACACTGTGTGGATTTGTCGTTGATACGTATTGTGTGGATTCGTGTTAATGACACACAGAGTGTGGATTTGTAATTGATACGTATTGTGTGGATTCGTGTTAGTGACACACAATGTGTGGATTTGTCGTTGATACGTATTGTGTGGATTCGTGTTAATGACACACAGAGTGTGGATTTGTAATTGATACGTATTGTGTGGATTCGTGTTAGTGACACACAATGTGTGGATTTGTCGTTGATACGTATTGTGTGGATTCGTGTTAATGACACACTGTGTGGATTTGTTGTTGATACGTATTGTGTGGATTCGTGTTAATGACACACTGTGTGGATTTGTTGTTGCACGCGCTGTGTTGATCCATGTGGGTTAGTTTTGTTTTTCGTTTTTGTTTTTGATTTTTGAGACGGAGTCTTGCTCTTGTCACCGAGGCTGGAGTACAATGGCACAATCTCGGCTCACTGCAACCTCCGCTTTTGGGTTCAAGCGATTCTCCTGCCTCAGCCCCCCGAGTAGCTGGGATTACAGGCGCGTGCCACCATGCCCGGCTACTTTTTTTTTTTGTATTTTTAGTAGAGACGGGGTTTCGCCATCTTGGCCATGCTAGTCTCGACCTCCTGACCTCAGGTGATCCGCCTACCTCGGCCTCCCAAAGTGCTGGGACTACAGGCATGAGCCGCCGCGCTCGACTGTATCCATGTTATTGGCATGTGCTGTGTAGGTCCATGTTATTGGCATGTGCTGTGCCCAGCAGTGTTATTGATACGTGTCGTGCCTGTCAATCTTTCTGACCTAACACGCTGGAACGGTGAGCCTGGCGCTGTCCTCCCATCCCTGGGCGCGCGGGGGCACTCGAGGCGCTCCCGGCCGCGGGTGGGACGCAAGCCCCGCCCCCCGAGCCCCGATTGGCTGCGCGCGGTGCGCGGCGTCTTACGCACGCACGCAGGCCCCGCCCCGCCCGCCCCGCGCCGGTCAGGCGCGCCCTCCCTTGGCCCGCGGCGCTTGTTGTTCGGCGGCGGCGGCCGCGGCTCGGGTCCCCCTCCGGCGCCCCCGCCGCCGTCCGCGCGCGGCCATGGAGCTGGAGGTGCCGGACGAGGCGGAGAGCGCCGAGGCGGGGGCCGTGCCCTCGGAGGCGGCGTGGGCGGCGGAGAGCGGGGCGGCTGCAGGTAACGGCCCGGCCTCCGGGGGCTGCGGCCCGTCGGGCGCGTCCGAGCGCGGAGGGTCGCGGGGCTGCGGGGCCGGGGCGGGGGCTGCGGGGGCGCCGCGGGTTCCGGGAGCCTGGGGCGGGGCAGCGCCCTGGAGCCCCAGGGAGGACGGGCTGGGGCCGCGCCGGGAAGCGGGAGGCCTGCGGGGGACGACTTCCCACCGCTCCCGGGCCGGGGGCGGCTCGGCCTGGGCGCCGCAGGGGACCCGGTTCTGCCGGCCCCTGTCCGGACCCGCTCCCCGGGGCTGTCCGGCCTGTGGGTGGCGCCTGCCTGGGTGGAGGACGCGGGGGTCTCTGAGGCCCTGCGTGTCCACCTCCTGATGTCACCTCCCGCTCTGCAAATCCCCAGACCCGGGTCCGGGTGCGCCGACCTTTCCTCACCCTCCTGGGCCTCAGTTTACCTCCCTGCTAGAATGAGGGGAGGAAAAGGGTGACATTTCAAGACGCCTCCCCTGCCCGGCTGTGCACACAGGGGTGCCCCGTCACCCCTTCTCCTTGTCCCCGAGCCTTCCCCCCAGGACACCTGGTGGGGCTGCGGGCTGGGCGGGGGGCACGGCTGTCTCGCCTCCTCCTGCTGCCTCCCGGCCCTGCAGCCGGGTGGGTGCGGGCAGCTGGGCCTGCCCTCCTCTGGGGACGGTGTGCAGAGCGCCGAGGAAGGGAACGGTTCCTTCTCAGTCGAGGTCACAAGCGCCCAGATCGGAAGTTTCCGGATTCACAAAATCCTCTGCTCCTCCCAGGCAGCCGGCAGCGGCGTCTCTGTACAGACACCCACACGGGCATCCGTCCTCCTTCTCCCCCCAGCCTCCCGAAGCTTCCTTGGTTGGCAGGCAGGCAGGCAGGCGGGCGATGCGTGCTGCCTGGGAGTTGGGGGAAATGTCTGGAGAGACGGTGTGTGTGTGGAAGTCATCAAGTCCCCCCCCCCACCACCACCACCTTGAAAGACACTCGTGGCTTCCCTCCCGGCGGCCATCTGGAACCGCTTGGTAGGTGACCCGGTTCCTTCTCCGGAGCCGGTGGCCTCGCCCCTTTCTTTGCGGGCAGTCAGTGGCCTGGCTTGGCCTGACCAGGACGAGCCGTGGTGGAGGAGCCCAGGCGGGGGAGGGCAGCGGGGCCCAGCCAGGGTTCCTTTCTCCGGCCCCCCGACTTCCGCCATCAGCCCTCTGACCCGAGTTGGTAAGAAACAAAGTAGCCCGGGTCAGTAGCTGCCCACAGGAAAACCGCACCGAGACCAGTGGGCTTATCAGGGGCTCTGGGAGCGCTGGGACAGATAAAGTCGCAGGCTCCAGCCGGGGCTGGGGCTGTTCGCGGGGGCGGTGGCAGGGGTGAGGTCGGGGTTTGAGGGGTGGGTTGCCAGGGCTGGAAGGTCAGGGGCCAGCATTCCCTGCCCGTCCCTGAAATCCACGGGAATCTGACCCCAGCCGGCCTTGTAGTGCTTCTAAGATGTTAAAATCCCGAGTGGCCCCACCCCTCCAGCCCCATCCCTCCTGACGTCAGTGCTGGTGAGTTGAGGTTGTGCCCGGCTGGGCCACAGCGACAGGAGTGCATAAAGGTGTCTGCTTATTCTTCACCGAGATGGTTTTATGCCTCACTGGGGTTTCTCTGCCTTGGCATCTTTGGCATTTTGAGCCAGGAAATTAGGGGTGCTGGACAGTGTCACTGGCTTCTGCCCACTCCATGCCAGGAGCACCCCGCAGTTCTGACAACCACAAGTAACCCCAGACACAGTTCAGTGTCCCCTGGGGGGCAGGAGCGCCTTGGTGAGAAATGCCACACGGTGATGACTCTGTGGACTGCTTGCTTTTTATCTGTGGTCATCTGGACTCTCCCCACCCTGTGTCCCTTTGAGTTTATAGAGAGGACGAGCCCTGAGCAGTGGTTAGGGGGAAGCCCAAAAGCCGGGCGCGGTCCCTCACACCTGCAATCCCAGCACTTTGGGAGGCCGAGGCGGGTGGATCATGAGGTCAGGAGTTGCCAACATGGTGAAACCTCGTCTCTGCTAAAGATATAAAAAATTAGCTGTCTGTGGTGGTGTGCACCTGTAATCCCAGCTACTCGGGAGGCTGAGGCAGGAGAATCTCTTGAACCAGGAGGCGGAGGCTGCAGCGAGCTGAGATTGTGCCATTGTACTCCAGCCTGGGTGACAGAGTGAGAAAAGAAAAAGGGGAGGCCCAGAGTTGGACCCGCCGGGGTCCCCTTCCCAGCTCTGTGCTAGGCTAAGATGCCCCCAGGCCACAGCTCAGGCCATCGGCCCCCACAACCTTCCCAAGGCCCCACAGCCGCGGCCCACGGAGACGCCATCCAGGCCAGGCCTCGGGAGCCCAGGAAATTAGAGGAACCAGATTCGAAACCCCAGCAAGACACTACTTCCCCTCCCATCGGATGGGCCGAAATTGCCAAGGACGAACACATCGGGAGCTGGCAGTGCCGTGGGAAATGGGCAGCCTCCCTCCACCCCTTCCTGAAAAGGCTCCCGCTACACTGAGCTTTCTGGAAGGTGTCAGCATCGCTTCTAACAGTGAGAGGCGACTCCAGAACCACCGGCTTGGGCCTCAGCAGGGGCCTGGAGGCATGACAGTGGAGAGGCCCGAAGCGGGCAGCCAAATGGCACAACAGTCACCAAGCAACAGCACCATCTCACCCCAGGCTCGGCCAGCCCCGGGCAGACACAGCCATCACCCCATTTTATACACGGGACACTGAGGCCCAGGGAGGTGACGGCCACACAGCAACTGAGGCACAGAGCTGGGAAGGGGACCCCGGCGGGTCCTGTCTCTGTGATGTCCTGGAACGGTCAGCTCCATCCCTGCCCCTGCCCCTGCCCCACTCCCACGGCTGATCTGGCAGCAGATGGTGTCAGCTTCACCTTCAGAATTGGCCCAGAACTCACTGACTCCTTCCCCATCCTCTGCCTGCCCCCGGCCCAGCTGGGTCCTCCTCTGCCCCCGAGCCAGGCCCGGTGTCCCTGCTCTTCCTCTGCCCCCAGGACCCTGTTAAAACCTGGTGGCCCAAGTCCTGCCCGTCCTCTGCCTGCAGCCCTCCATGGCTCCCACCTCCCTCAGCATCAAAGAGCAAGTCCTCAGTGAAGCCCATCAGGCCCTGCACAACCTGCCCCGGGCCATCCCTCCCTCCCCTCTGCACTCTGCTGCAGGCCTGTGGACCCTGCTCTCAGGGTGCGGTCCTGCCCCTGGGACTTTGCATGGGGGTGCCCTGCCTGGAGTGCTCCTTCTCCTGCCTGCGTCCTTTGCGCCCTTAGCTCTCTCCAGGTGTCGAGGGAGCGTCTCCTCTCCGTGAGGCCTCCCGGCCCTGCCGGCATCACACAGCGGCCTCCCTCCTCCGCCCCTGCCCTCAAGGTTCCTCTTCCCTGTTTGTGTCAGCACCTGAAACATACGGTTCTGCTGACATGTTTTCTGACCGTCTCCTCCTGAGCGAGAGCTCTGTGAGGGCCAGGACCGTCTGTGCCACTCCCGCGGCGTCCCCTTTGCCCGGAAGAGCTCAGCACTTGACAGATCCTGGCAAACATCAGGGGGTTGAGGGCGGCGGTGCCAGGGAGGAAGGGCAAGGCAGAATGGGGTGGCTGGGAAGGCTGTGCCAAGAAGGTGGCATCTGAGGGAGACCTGTGGGCGGTGGGCAGGAGAGGGCGCGGCCCCGAGCAGTGCATAGTGTGATCACAGGGCGGCTGGGCAGGGAGCGCCGTTACTGGGGCCTCCCCTGTAGCCGTGGTGTGGGTAAAAGGGAGGCCAGGCACGGTGGCTCACACCTGTAATCCAGCATTTGGGAGGCTGAGGCAGGAGGATCACGTGACTCCAGGGGTTTGAGACCGGCTTGGCAAAACATAGCAAGACCCCCGTCTCTGCCTAAAAATAAATCCAAACAAGAAGCTAGACATAATGGCTTCACCTGTGTTTCCAGCTACTCAGGAGGCTGAGGCAGGAGGATCGCTTGAGCCTGGGAGGCCAAGGCTGCAGTGAGCTGTGATGGTGCCACTGCATGCCTGGGTGACAGCAAGATCCTATAGAAATGAATGGGGGCCAGTGGGATTGCTGTGTCTCTTGTTGCAAGTCAGCAGGGTCCAGGTGGAGACTGAGGACGCTGGGGACGGAAGCTCCCTGTTCTGTCCCTCCCTGGCTGCCTCCCAGGATGCAGCTCAGGCCCTGTGACCGCTGTAGCCTCGGTGTCCCAGTGGAGAGGGCTCGGGAACCGTCCCACCTGGGTTTACACCCAGCTCCATCGCATGCCAGCGGGGGGCATGCGGCCTCAGCGTTCCTGTCTGTAAAGTGGGTGTGATGTCTGCCTTTCTCCCGGACTACATCGAGAACTGCGAGGTGAAGCCCTTAGAAGGCACAGGGAAGGCAGCCGGGCCCTTGAGAGAGATGGGATGCCCCCTGTGTCCCGGGTCGCTGTTGGTGCTGCTTCTGGGTGCCAAGCAGGCTCACCTGGGCACTGGGGTTCGCCCTGGGAGTCAGGGCTTGTGAAAGCCTGGGCTCTGCCCCTGCAGGTCCTTACACGGGGCTCCCAGACCTTTGCCAAGCACCTCGTGTGGGCCACGTGGGGCTCAGGGTGCCCAGTCTTTTGATGCCAACGGGGACTCCCTCACTGTTCACTTGGAGCCCTTAGGTTGCTGGGGGTCAGGCTTTGGATGGGCACAAGCAGCCATGTGAGTCACATCGGAATCCCGGCCATGCCAAGTTCTTGTCAGCAAAGTTTTACTGGCAGTGGCCACAGCCTTCGCTCCCAGGCTGGCCCTGGCGGCCACCGTGCTGCAGTGGCAGAGCTGAGAGCTGAGTGGGTGCACCGGGGACCGTGTGTCCCGAAAGCCGAAGGCACTCGGTGTCCCGTCCTGTACGGAAGACCTTTGCCCAGCCCAGAGTCAGGAGCACTGGGCGCTGGTGAGTGTGGTGAGGGCACCTGGCAGGCCGGGCCTGTGGCAGCAGAGGACTCAGGGAGGGAGGTGGCCGAGAGTTG